ACGGATACAGGGCACTAACATCGGTTTCACTCTGACAAGCGTACACAAAACGATCATGGTTAAAAATGACAAAGCCAAGAGATAAAATCGAATCAATGCCGAGAATCGGCGTGAGATCCTCATCCATGATCACGAACTGCAGACGATGCGAAACACCGTCTCGCGGGTTGGCCACTTCAATTGTCGCTGGGCCCTTTGGATTGAGTCTAGAACCATTCCACATGCGCAAATAATCATGATCCGATTGAATTTGCACGCTGCGGCAGTGCTTTCTGTGCAAAATATTGATCGTCGCGCCTGTGTCTAACTGGAATCGCACAGACCGTCCCTCGATCAGAAGACTTGCATAGACACACTTCTGCGACGCTTTCCGAGACACATTACCAATCGATTGTTCGGTATCTTCTGTTGATTTGTCTGGAACGAGTGCACTGACTTCTGTCGACTGACAGCAGCGGGCGAAGTGATTGCGCTTCCCAAATTTGACACCAATGCGGCCCCACGCCGGACACTGTTCGCGGTTCCTCAGATGTCGTGTTGCACAGAAGTTGCAGGGCTCCTGTCGCGCGGTCGTAGCCCTCGTAGTTTTGCACCTGGAAACGGCGCACAACTCTGAATCACCTGTGATTGCCACCTGCTGGAACTGATAGGCAGTGGAGGACTCACTGTTACAGATGTCGATACACTGCTGCAGAGATAAGTTGCGCTTTCGTAATAGCCGCTTCGTCAAACCTTGATCCCAAGAACAAAGCGGTCCCGTATGAGACTGTCCGCCATGCATTTACAGAAACTGCAGGATCGGGCCAAAATCTTTAGCTCAGTGACGTACGTGTCAACGGATTCACCTGGCCGCCTGTTCCGCGAAAAGAAGAGGTAGCGTTGAAATGTCTCGTTTGTTTGGCCTTCGCAATATTCACTGCACTTCGCAAGAACTGTCTCCAGATTGTTGGCATCTTCGCTCTTGTCGTAACACAATGTCTTTAGCACGCGGCGCGCATCATCTCCTGCTGCGTGTCGAAACATGGCCAAGCGGTACGCCGTCGGTTGTTTGTCCAGACGCGATGAAGTGCAGAAATCCATCCATTTGCTCTTCCACAAACGCCAGTTGCTTGCCAAACTGCGTTCATCCATGTTCAGCGGGGCAGGCATTTGAATAGCCGGTGAAGCTCCAATCATCGTCTGGGTGGTACTAATGTTCTTCTCCTTTTCTGACACCATGTAAAAAGTCGGTCCTTCAGGGACAAAACGTATATTCTGCAAACAAAAGAACCAGGCGAAAACGCAGGCAGAGGGCGAGTGAAACATATCGGTATATACAGCTAGTTGGATCCATACTTAACGACCTTTGTGAATGCACGACATTTTTGCTTTGATTCAGTCAAACAACTCACTCTAATGCATCCAACTGTTGGCCAATCAGCGTGCATGCGAGAAACGTGTGAACGTCCAATCAGCTGCCGCCTTTCCTTGCGGCAGCCTAACGGCTTCCTTGCTGGGTTGGCACCGCACGTTCGTTCGAGTGTAAACTCCCATCACACTTTTTGTCAATGTTCCATTCTTTCTGCGGCATACTAGCTGAAGTGTGTTGTTCACCATCAACTACTATGCCACGGTGATAATGCCGCGATGGTGGACCCTCATCCACTGATCTTCATGGCTTTACGTTGGCTCTATGTCTAGGTAATAAATTGCTGAGAACCTTACCACTACTACTACTACTGGGACTTTGCTTGGTTTCTGTTATCGTTTCGTTTATGCTACCCACGTGTATACTTAACGCTTACTGGCCCAGCCATATGCCCTTGTATCTGATGAGTTGTAAATCTAAAAGCTACCTATGTGATTGTAACGCTTACAGGTGCATGGATTTTGCCATACATACGTACAGGTCCTGCTATGGTCTGCTGCTTTCTCGGGACACAACAGGCTTAAGCTATTTATGTGATATCCATCAGATTCAACCTGTCTATCTCTGGTGGGAAAGCATAGATCTCAGTTCATTTTTCGCAGTAGTACTGCAAATGTATCTTAGCCTACCTTTTCAAAACCATTACGTGACCTGCAGTTAATCTCGTTTTACACTGTGGGGCCGATTTTGATGCTACAAAACTGAGGTACACGAATCTACGATAATTAGCTGGGAACTGAGTTGAAATCGGCACATGTAGGATGTATGTCTCGGATAAATAGGTCTAAAAGTTTTTTTCTGGTGCGTTTATGAACGATTTGTACTCATACTTGCACAAGGAATTTAGAAAGGAAGCACAACAGAACTGGTGGTTCAAAAAATCTTTGGAAAATTAATGTCATCCCCATCAACAATGAATATAGGACAGCTCAAAGCACAATCAAAAGCGGAAGCGAGTTTAGTGGGTAATATATTAGTACTCGCTGTGTGATTGAATTGTAACGCGCTATCTCAATGTAATCCGCGATTCGCAACGAACTGAATCATGGCCTATTCAATCGTTAGGACAGTATTGGGGGCGAATGGAGATTGGGTGTTGCCTACGTAAAATTGCTGGACTCCACTACGCGTTCCGATGACATAAAGTGTACAGGCTTCGAACCCGAGGTTGGGATGTTAGTTAAGAACTCCACCGCTTTAGTCGACGAGGTATGACTGCGAACGCATGACACAACGGTTAGAGACTAAGCGCAGGGTGGCCATGAAGTGCATGTTGTGATTGGATTACGGCGCGATATTTCAATGTGGACCGTGATACATATTGAAACGAACCTTGGGCCGCAACTGATGAGGTGGATATATTTTGTGTGCGCTTACTCGGAAACATTGCACTGCTTGACGGGTCACGAGCTTGTTTGATCTACTACCTGTTTAGCTCAAATAAGGTGACCGCTTTGTGAAGTGCGGTGTTTTCTAGCGAGCAACACCCACTATTCTTCTGTCTCAACTGCAAGCTCGGTGACTGAATTGGCCAAATGCAGTTCAATGCGATTCACATTCCGTACTGAGATTGTGTGTCGCAACCTAGTAGTTCATAAAATCCTTCCTTTCAGATAAGGCTAGTGCTTTGTTTCAACGAGCGCAAGCTATTTCCCCAGGTACAGAGAACTGACAGCGATCGAAGTCAATCATCCTTAATGCCCCATAAAGGAGAGGTTTAGTGGGAGAACCTGACATTCTCGGTTGTCCAAAAGCTCGAAGTTAGCCGGTGCACAAAATGAGGGATAGATTCGCGAGGATGCAATTATTTGCAGTACGTGAACAGAAATAGGTGCAAAGATCGGACCAGGTTAGCCAACAACTTAATCCAATAACATGTGGAGAAGTTTGAAGTTACTATCAGAACAATAAAAATCGGGAATCAGCCGATGCAATGAATTTGATGTTCAACCATCGCATGTAAATTGAACAAGTCAAAAGACCTGGTGTATCAGTACAAATCTTGACTAAAAATCACGCATTTGCTTCCAAATACACATTGTTATCCCGTAGTTAAGGGAATTCCCGGGTGAAGTTGGGGTTCTTGGCTCTGTGAATGATGACCCCAATAAAGTTAGTTTAACAAAAGATACCATCATTTGCGAATATCAAGTTATTACTAAACTGTTTGATGGGATATTCTATTTCTGAAGGTAAGCAATTTTATGTCACTCTCCGGTACTTCAAGGAGATCAGCAAAGTCGAAGTAAGCAAAAGAGTGCTCAGTTTCTTAGACCGTACCGACTTATCTCATAGAATGACTGATGTGGTCTTTGGATCATTCAGCGCATGATTAAAGAAGTGTGTTGTTATCGCAGGTTGCATGATTGTTCCCAAAAATAAGCATGGCTTGTTGATAGAATTTCATACCTACGGTCTGGAGCAGCCGCTTTTAATTGTAAGGGATTAATAAAGTATGATGAAAGTGAATATTCTCCTCCGAGGTTGCATCATCACCATCATCATTATACATACACGTTAACTAGGGGTGCAAAACACCTCAATTACTGTGCCGCAATATATAAATGAAACAAGAAAATAAATATAACAGCTACATGCCAGTTGAGCTACTAGCAAGGGATGGGCATCGTTCCGGAAAGTTACCAGCCTGCTGCTAGACAACAAAACAATTATTTTGTATAATTATATTATGCTATGAACAGATAGTGTGGTTAGAAGGGGAGGCTAAAAAGGATAGGGAGGGACAAAGAAACAGCAGGAACGTTATTGAGGTCGGCTCCTAGCCATGTCAGCAAGTGTATCTAGTCAAATGTGTTTATCGTCCTTTGGACCCCAACCTGAGAGTCGTGACGCTCCGACCGAGGTTAGCACCGAAGTGAGGGACTTCATTCTTCTGGACCAAGTCATCGCTTGCCCACCTCTCCTCTTCTTCCACCCACATCCCCGGCGAGCAAACAACGCGCGTCGCTGGAGCCGGTGGGCTGGCATGCGTAACACGTGGCCCAGCCATCGGAGCCTGGTGCGTAAAATGCCGGTTTTGCGCGGTCCAGTTGCTTTTCTTGTGCCAGAAACAAGGCGTCGAACACGCTCGTTGCTCACACCGTGTTCTCACCACATGTGAGCCGAACTGCGAAGGCATCGGTGGTCGAACGTAACTAGCATTTTTATGTCCGCTGAGCTAAGAGGCCAGGTTTCGCTACCGTACAGTATGACCGAACGTACCGTTGCGTGGTACACACTACACTTCAGGGCAATAGTGAGGTCATACCAACGCCATAGGTGACGAATACTAACAGAAGCACCTCGAGCTTTTGCTATACGGTTCGCGATCTTATCTTCAAATCCAAGGGCGCTGACACAACTTCTCATGTAGTTGAATTTCTGAACGACTTCTAGCTGAGCCGCACCAAGGGTCAGCGCAGGAGGCGATCCCTGCCAAGCTTAGATGAAAGCTTTGCAGTTAGATGGTGCAAAGCAAACAGTTTTCTTTAAATAGTTTCCTCAGAGGTTTGACTACACCTCTTCAACTAAGAGTGCGAAGAGTAAATTTGATATGGAACGAAATCCCTCATTGAAGAAGCAAAAAGCAAGCTTGACCAAAATATGAACTAGTTAACATGTAAACTACAAACAATTTGCTGATAAAAAATAGGAACACGAATGGAGCTAAATACGTGACGACCAACACGATGACAGTCGTCAAGCACAAGGGAAATAATCTGATTGGAAACGAGTTCGCTTCCATCGGGTATCACTGACTGGCGGGTTGGAATGATGCAACGATTTTACGTGAGCCAAGTGGACAAATGGGGCGGAAATTGTCCGGACCTCCACAATTTTTGCATCGGCTGTGAACACGGCGTAACCGTTCCATCTGTTGAGAAAGAAAGCGAATTTAAGAACAGTAGTGAGTATCTAAGAAACGCGGGACGGAGAACAGCTATGGTGTAAACACAAATTTTGTGGGGCGCTCAATGAGCTGGCACGCATGAAAGCGTTGGTTATCCTGAGAATTGGCAACGGTCCTGAAGTGGTCGTCATCGACAGACGTAAACAACACTACTGACGGCACAAATGTCAAGCCAGATACCACTTTCAATACAGTCCATCTGTCTGGTCGAGAAGCAATCGTAGCATGAATTTCAAAACTTACTACTGCATGGCTTCATCTCAGAGGATAAATCAAAAATTTTAGGACCTGTGTGTATCCATACTCCAAAGTTGTGTGGTTCGCCGAGGAGCAAAAAACAAGACTACACATGCAGTAAATAAGCTCCAGTGCTAATACACCGTACCATGCCATCATTAGGTGTCTAAGCTGTACGCGCACACCAGTGAGGTTTGCAGTAAAGCCCATTTTATTGAATAAGTTGGAAGGACGAAACCGATTGCAACGTACAGTGAAGTCGGTTTTAGTTATCTTGATCAAGTGGCACAGGTTTACTTAGGAATAAATGGTGGTCCCAAATGAGATTGAATGGTAATTCGAACACGTGATGGGCAATCCAAAGTATACTACCGAGACACACAAAGTATTCCATTGTTCGGAAAGCTTAAATGCAGCCCATAAGCATATGCATATACACGACATGAGGTCTCGTTTTCCCAATATCGCGCTGCAAGAAAAGGTGAACCCGAAGCTTGCAATGAAATGCGAAACGGAGCGCGGCAGTTGTTTCCTATAATTAAATAAACTGCTCTTACGATGAGTAGCCGGTTCGACCAAACGGTCAGTCACCCGGAAAGCATACTGGACGTGTTAGTACTAATATTGCAAGTGCCTATCGTCGCTACAGCACAGAGGTCCTATAGCTTAACTTTATCCCGTCGAGAGCATATGATTTGAATACAAGTAATCATGATAGCAGAGGAAGAACCGTTGTCGTACGCTCTGCAACGTGAAGTCTTTCAGTTGTAGCACGAGGAAATGAGGTCGAATGAAAATATTTAAAAGAAAGCAGTCTATGTTTAGTTACCATTCAAAAATAACCGCAACAAAATGTTCATCGCGAAGGGAATAAGCGGCTCAATGAAAAAGGTACAAAACCCAACGGAGACACCTTTGCTCATGTTGACAGTAAAAATGATTAGACTCAAGCTATGGTTTACTAAATTCAGATCTATCTGTGGAAACGGTTAAGTTAGACACATTGATCGGAATCTAATTGTTCGAATCGACAAGAACACTCCGAGTTGGTTTTGCAGGAGGAATATTAGATATGTACATTGGATGAATAGAGAAGTAAGGTTGTCTCAGTGACCACGATGCTGCCACTGATCACCTATTACTTGGTCAATCCTGATACATCACTCCAGATCTCCATGCGCAGTCAAAGCCCTCACATTCTCCAGTTATTCGAGGCCAGTGATATCGATTAAGCCTTCCGCACTGTATTCAAAAACAATGATCCCGACACTGTTTATTGTATTAATGTGAAGCGCTTCTGTCGGCCAGTGCTCGGCAACTAATTGATTTCGTGAGATAATGTCAGTTTGTGATTGAACAGAATGCACAAAATGACACCATCGTCTCACAATCTACGTCATGTGGTAGACATTCGAGATGTTGCAGACCGTGTTTCACAACAGCTTGCTACGGGTCAAATATATGCAGCGGCGAAAATTAACAGCAAGCTGGCCATAGCTTGAAATCGATCTTTAAGAAGCGCCATCAGAGTTAGTATAATACCTGTAAATCTATAATAACCTGGAACTAAGGAACACAATGACCTGTTCACTCTGCTAAAGGACGTGGGTACCGTTGTCGAGTTTGTCGATACAACTTGAGTTATTTGATAAGTTTGGACCTCGATAGCTTTAGTGAAGGGAATTAGTATAACAGTGAAATACACGAAAACCTGATTGACGACCTCTACTTGGACGCTCAACGGCACGTTATTCTTATTACACCCAGGCCTGATTACCCGGTTCGATAAGCAGCACGACAGGTGAACTGAGTCGATTGTACGTGTGGATGCAAACGAATAGATTGAACCGGAACCCCCTATTCTTCTGCAGTTTAGGGGAGAGCGTTTGGGGTTGATATTCAGTTCAGCGTAAGTGAACCATGAATCGGGTGCTGACTGCTCGAAAACACTGCGGGCAACACCTAATTATCATCTGCTTCAGATAGTCCTAGTGATCGAAGTGACCAAGGTTCACTACAATGCGAATCACAGTCCACATTGAAATTGCGCATCACAATCCACTCTCTCACAATGAGTGCTTCAAAATGACCTTCCAATCAAATTGAGATCACATACCAAGGTCGAAACACAGCCGGGATTCGGGAAAAGAGGCGAATAATTCGATGCTGATTCTGCCCTATGACAGTGCTTAAACTAAACTGGAGCTCGAAGGGTCAATGTTCACGTGTGACTTTCCAGTGTAAGCAACCACTATGCTATACTACTCATGGGAGAAAGCGCATCAACTTCATTGTGTACCACAGGGAACGCACAAAGTGCTTGTCATCCTTTAAAACGCATGGTTGAAGCTCAGCATGTCAAGTGTAATTAAGCAGCTGCAAATTCCCTCAGTCAGTGCGAAACCGGCATCTGAGGATACAATCATCGTATAAAAGCACAGGTTTGAAATTTAACTGCTAGGACATATGAATCCATGCAGTGTGTTATGCAGCTTTGGGTGCCCCACAATCAAAAAGCAAGCTCCAGTCTTCATATCTAAAAAGGAATTGACGAAGAAAGGAGGCTGGGGTTGGTAACAAGCCCACAATAACACTCTGCCAACGGCTGCAAGAATGCATATCAACTGCCACGACGGACCCAATACCGAGGCTGATACAGGATGATCGCAACCAACTGAAACAGTGAGGAAAAAGCACACTCGCTGACTTAACAATCCAGTGGATTTGAAGTTGCACGTCAGGTTGACATAGTATAATGGCTGGAAAGGATGCACTGATGAGAAACCGGATAGACCACTTGTGTGAATAGTGACCTAAGGAATAAATGCAGCAGAACAAGAGGAACAGCGCACTACGATCAATGAACAAACCTACAAGTTGGTCACATCCTGTTGAGCCAAAATTACTTTGGTCCGGGGCAGTTATTTTGAGTAACGGCAACGTGCCTGCAATTAATCAATTGTTGAACTTGTCTACCAATAGGCGAAATGAGAATGAAGCGGGAAAAGGGGTAGTGTTAATGCCTTGTCCAATAATTACCTGACAATAGACTTCCCAAGTAGGTTAACTGCGCTCACTCGACTGCGTAGCACGAAGGTAGGTGCGCAAGAGATTTGTTGCCTAGTTAGTTAAGTGAGATATCTAGTTGATCAACACGTTGTTTTTGCAGGTACTGGCGCATCATGTGGGACGCGAGATAATAGTATAGAAAGTGGAACTATCTGGATAGGAGTCGCGGAAGACCAGCTCAAGTAGAATAAAAGTGACGTCCAGAAGGATCATTTTCGTAGTGCATGTTTGATAATGATAACAGAGTGGTGAAAGCAACAACAACCGGTGATATTATTCGCAGTTCTAGCTGCTATATTGTACCGCAGTAGAGGTGAACCCAGTTGTCGTGGCGAACCCCGTCAATGCCTTTATTATTTTACTGTAATCATTATTATTATTATGTGAGATAAAATTTTAAGAGATGAGATTGTTACTCACATCCGGTTCGCGAGGAAAGCCAAATGCGACAATTATGCCTAATGCATTAAATCCTGTGCCAATAATTCAGATGGATAAATGTCCCATTAGCAGGTTGGTCTTCTATTTGCAACCCCAATAGACCATCCGACGAGACCGGTACATCTTGGGCGTTTTAGTCCACAACATCCAAGTGCCTACTGGTGAAACAGCACACGCCATGCCAGCCGGTTTGCAGTCATGCGGCACATGTGACCGCGCTATCAGATGCGATTTGAGTCTAACAGGTACTCCAGATAGAGGACGATCTTCAGGTTATAAATATAACTCACCACATCCTCAGAAACCAAAAGCGGTTCATCCAAAACGATCCAGGTAACGCACTCATTGCAGGGAGGTGTTGTCAACGATCCTGAGTACGTATAGTACTTCGATAAATCCTCTGCGAAAGTGATGTAAGGATAAAAGGCTTCAGTAATGCAGTTGCTTAAAACAAGCTGTGACTGACAGAAGAAAAGTTACAAATAGCAAATGAGTGTTTGCGAAATGCACAGCCGGTTTATAAAACAATATTTGATCAGAGGGGATCAAGAGGATCTTATCGTGTCATCTATTAGGAATCTGCGCATACACCGCTTATCAGCATGGCTATTTATTTATAAGTTCTCACCTTTATCATCATCCCGAAATGTGCACCAGCAAGGCGAATATGATATTTGCATCATTCGTACTAATTGAATCCGGTGCTCTGAGCTCGGGAAATCTATCCGCTAAAATGCTAGCCGACGGTAATAACCAGAAATGAAACACGCAATCACTAGCGTGTAAGTAACGTCGACTCCTTAGAGCTCTACTAGGAAACCCGATAGCGTCTAACTAAACGGGGTGGTTGGCGGTATCCGGTTTCGGATTTGCTTGTCACTGTGGCAAGCCACAGGACGTCTGTGCCTACAGAGGAATCATGGGTGGCTTGCGCTGCACCACCCACAGCTCCAACCACACACCCCATATCTAATGTAAACCCGGAGGAATAAGACCGGGAGCCACCTTTCATCAACGGAGCCAATTCACACTCCTTCACAGGCAAACACAAGCACGCTGTATTTGGGAATCAATGGCACACAAGGCGGTGGCTGGACCGTAGTCCGCTCCACACTGAGTGCATGGAACCACTCTTAGAGCCCAGCACGTCCACAAGGGCCGTGCACCCCGTCCCCTCCAGCAAGGACCAGCTTTCTCCTGGAGCTAGTACGGACGAGGTAGTGCGTAAGACAGGTGGACACCTTGTCAACATGCACATCAAGCGCAGCGATATCAGGGAAATCCAACAACAGCCAATCACTTGAGATAACATTATCAAATAAAATATATACGTTAAAGCACACGGCAATGCAGACAACTCTTCCCTAAATTAGCAGATGAAGTAAATTGGTTAGTAACGAATTCGCGCTAAGTACCAAATGTCCACAAGTAACACAAAATATGCTAAAGATGAAATAAAGTTAAGGAAGATAAGTAGCATTAGCGGAGTTAAAGTGTGCAAGTTAATAGAAGGTTTTTCAGGCAGGCAGAACAAACCAAATAAAGTGGAAGGAAATGTATCCAGCATAAAAAGACCCAGTTTGAGTCGAAATTGGTTTAGCCCAACGGCGGTGAAGAAGCATCATGAACGCAACATCAGCCTCAGCATGGGGCAGTCTCACAATATATATATATATATATATATATATATATATATCATCTCAAATAACTGGAAATCCACGTTACAAAAGTTTCAACTTTAGGGGAGTAGAGAGATTCAACTGTTGCTGGGTATGAAGTAACAAACCGCGTCCCTTTTCCATACCCATGGTTACCCGCCCCGACATTTTATCACTAGGGTCCAGAAAGCAGAGATAACGTGCGCAGTAGCTGTCCGGGCAAGGGAGTATTCACCCCGAGTACTCTAGCTTCTAACTTCCTTATTGCCATTATGGTGCAGTCACAACACACGAGCGGTAGTCAAAAGGTAATAGTTGTTTCATGCCTTCCGAGAAAACATAGCAAAACTCAAAGCCGTACAACAAGACCACGCTGAGGGCAGTATTGTACATGAGATTGAGACCGATATCGCGACGATGCCACAAATGTCGCAGATTAAAAGAGTGTAAGGCGAGTATTAGCAATGACTTGTACAACTCCAACACCGCCACCAAGTGTGATGAAACTGCCTAGCTAAGTAAGGCTATCAATTTGTTCTGGGCGGTCATCTGCAATGGTGAGCGTGGCACAGGATTTTCACAACCCTGAAGGAAGGTATTCAAACACTCGGGGCAAAATACAGATTACATGTAGACCTAGCTACTGCTAAGTAATTCAGAATGCTTTGGACGGCTTGTGCTTGGTCTCTCTGCACAGCGATGTCATCGGCATAATCACGGTCTATGAGTCTGTTCATGGGAAAAAGTTGGTTGTTGCAATCCTGGTTTGCTTTACATGTTCAGCTTAGAAGCTCTTTAGTGGCAGCCGAGAAGTATCATGCCCACACAACATATGGATCCATGTCTCAACAATTCTTCGCTCATTCTCTCCGCTCTCGCTCTAAGTGCTCTCACTCTTTCGAACTGTTCTCATAGGCCGAGGTGCTGGCGGCTGAACCTGCCAAACCACATTTTACCGTACCACCATTTAGTCACTTTATTCCATGTTTGTTCACCCACCCCCCATTCTTAGTCTTCCCCCTCCGTTTTCGAGTTCACAACATCGTGCCGCCTTGGGCGAACCTTCTCGCCATACGGATCAGGGGCTAAGATCCGAGGAGGCGTCAAGTTGTGTTGGCAAGCCATTTCTAGCGCCCCGTTCCCAATTCAAGCTGATAACCTTCAATGTTCGGACGCTGATGCAGATTGAGTCACATGCAGCCCTTGCTCGCACTCGGGAAACTACGGCCATTGATGTCTGCTGTCTCAGCGACACCCGCTTATAGGACCCTAGCACGGCGCTGAGACTAGTTTCACCGTCTGCGAATTCCACTGGCATTTTCACTTTGCGCCTAGCTGAAGACTCAACCGCCGAAGCCGCTGGTTATGCTGGCGTGGGGATTGCGTTGAGCACACATGCTGAGGCCGCGCTACTAGGCTGGATCGCTGTTAACAGTCTAAGATACGCGATCCGACTTGAAACGTCACTGCGACTGTCTAGACGCGAAGCCAGCAGACGCTGTCTATTCATTGCCGCAACGTACGCTCCCATAGATTGCATCCCGGAGTCAGTTAAGGATGAGTTCTATGGGCAACTGGCTGATCTTCTCCTTAAAAAGCGCCGTACTGACATGGTGATGCTCGCCGGGGAGTTAAACACGCAGGTCGGTGGACTTGAAGTTGACGGACGTGAAATCGGTGGTCAACACGGCCTTGGCACTCGTAGAACTGACAACGGTGATTGACTACATCAGCTTTGCGCAGATCACGGCTTCTTTCAGTCGAGCACTAGCTTTCGGGGATCCTTGCACCAACGCGCCATCTGGAGACCCCCATCACCTGGCCAGCCGTGGACACATATTGACCAGATCACTATTAGCTATCACTGACGGGGTAGCATACAGGATTGCAAATCAAGCTGGAGTACCTGTCTCACTTCGGATCACGCGCTGGTGTGTACCAAAGTTACTCTACCTTTTGGTGGTTCCCAGCAGCGTCGCCAAAAACGGCTTGACGTAGCTAAGCTTTCTGCCCCGAACGTTCTCCGCGAATTTTAGGATCCCTTGGCCTCACGGCTGAAGACTGCCTCATGCACAGACATTGAAACACACTGGACACACATCCACGGCGCCATGTACAACTTTGCACCACCAAAAGTCATGTCAACCACTGGATCTCTGCATGATCCCCCCAACTTCTCGAAGTTCATCGAGCAATTCTTGCTAGCGTTAAATACCATTCACTACGCAAGACTAGTAACGCTGAGGTCAACCAGCTTCTCCGGGAAGATCGCGATGTCTGGTGGACGCAGTGGGTCATTGAGATGGAGCAAGCGGCCACCTAGGGGAATTTCCGTAAGCTTTTCCTCCTGTTCCGATCCACTGGCGGCAAAAGGCCAACTGTAATCGGAGCTTTATGCGAAACCAATGGCCAGCCAATCCGCTGTCAAAAACGCCGACTAGAGCGTTGGATCGGGTATTTTGAGCAGCAGTTTAATTGGCCAGCAGCACCAAGTAGTTCCAATTCTGGAGGCACGAGCGCCCCCTGGTGTGTAGACGCTTCACTACTATCCGAGGCCGAGTTTGTCTACGAGCTTCGTCTCTTAAACCGCTAAAAATCCCCTGGTCCGGATGAACTCCTTCCGGCTCTTTTCAAAGATGGAGGCCCATCACTTGTTCAGGAGTTACCTTCTCTCCTCCAAACGATCTGGGTCACTGAAGTTATCCCATCTGATTGGAGCCTAGCGGATATCGTGCCCATTTTCAAAAAGGGTAGCTGAATTGACTGCGCCAACCACAGACGGATTAGTCTTAGCTGTGTTGCTTCCGAGGAGCTCGTAGCGCTGCTTCTAAGAAGACACAACCTGCTACGCGAACAGCGCATACGTGAAGAGCAAGCTGAGTTCCGCTCAGGTCGGAGTTGCATCGATCCCATCTTTACACTCCACCGAATACTCTGGCATCGTCAAACAGTTGGCCAGCGAACGATCGTTGTTTGCTTAAACATACGAGCCGCGTTTGACTCAGCCGACAGAGCTGCTCTCTGGAGTTGTCCACTGAGAAGGGGAGTGCCGGAGAAGTATGTCACCTTACTTAAAACCATCTACTCTCAAACCTCGGGCCGAGTGCAGGTGAGCTGCGGATTTTCGCCCCCTTTGGTATCACCAGTGGCGTGAGACAGGGTTGTCCAGCATCCCGTTTCTTGTTCAATTACGCTATAGACGAAATCTTGGAGAGTGCTCCGAAGAACTGCGAACCCAGCGGTGTCGAGATGCTTCCGGGAGACCGACTTCGGGATTTGCAGTATGCAGGCGACATCGCCGTAATCTGTGCTTCCTCACAGGCCGCCCAAAATGTCCTCTGTAGGTTGGAGATATCTGTCTCCCAGTTTGGAATGATCTTCGCACCATCGAAATGTACGGTTTTCATGCAGGACTGGCTAGGCGCTACTCCTAACCTTACCCTTCTAGGTCATCCACTGGAAGTGGTGGACAAGTTCGTTTACCTCGGGAGCTGCCTCAACGCTAATGGTTAAACGGATGATGTCTCTTTGCTTGTCTCCAAGGCTCGGACTTATTTTGCCAATCTCCGTCATCTCTGGCAACGAACTGACTAGATTGTAGCTCTGAAAGGCCGAGTTTACAATGCCACAGTGAGAGAGGTTCTCTTTTATGGATGCGAGACGGCCTGTTCGCGCTAAGGATGTTGAGAGGCTGTGTGTGCTCACCGCTGCCTTCGGAGCATTGCTGGTGTATGATGCAACATCACACCAGGAATGAAGATATTCGACGAAGGGTGTTCGGATCAGACAGACTTTGTGGGCCACTGAGCAGTATAATTTCTCTACGCAGACTTCAGTAGCTGGGCATGTTCTCCGAATGCCTACTCATCCCTTGCCTCGCGGTGCCCTCTTCGCGCACGAAGAAGTCGGCTGGAATCGAAAGCAAGGTGGCCAACGTATGACTTAGGTCAGGAGCATGAACGAGCTATCGTCAAAGTTAACCGTGGTCCGGCGCTCTCGGCTCCCTGGCTAGAGTGTGAAGGAACCGGAACATCCATGTCTGGAAACACTCTCGGATATGTCAAGAAATCGTGCACAATGGTGGAGTTGTCGTGGCTCACTATTCCCATGAGCACCGGTTTCTTTCTTTCCCTCTATCTTCGTATGTTTATTGTATTTTCCATACGTTGAGGCACTATGTCAATTGTATTATTGGGGTATATATATATATATATATATATATATATAATGATAAAGTTGTACACGAATGGTGAAATAGGGTAATGTTGGTGTACACCAATAGTAACAGAAGAGGAAGAAGACAGTCTCTCATAAGCTATAAACTTTCCAGGAATGTGACAATAGTATTCCTCGAGGATAACGACACCATTATCAGTTGCAGCATTTATTAGAAAACAGTTTCATAGAAGGCATGCATCTGCTAAATCAAAGATGGCACGAATGTTTGAAACCACCGCGATTGTTAGCTTCCGGTATGTGAGACGGTGTTGGATTATCTGATGCAGCCTTTTCCTAATATGACAAACACTTTCAGGTAGGTGGAAACTCCCAGGATACGATGGACTCAAAAAGCATGGACGCAAATGAGATCAGCGAAAGCCACTATAGCTTAAAGAACGAATCTGTGATGGGAATGTCAGATCAGAGTGAGCTGATGGAACAACTGAGCGAGCCAGACAGCCAATGGGAGGTGGGCGTAACGGATTCGATTACTGGACTCAGATTGGCCGATTTTCGTATGAGTGATTCACCGTTTGTTTAATTGAAGCAAAGGAGGAACATCAACGATTCAGAAGAATCGTTAGTTAAAGACATGGGCGAGCGACTTGTATCGAAGAGTTCGGCTTGCCAAAGGTGTTGTAATTTTCGCCTACTTGACTTTGCTGAATAAACGCTTGTCCCTGAAGTACTGAGTTTGCAACAGAATTCAGACTAGGAATATGTTTGAAACAGTGCACAAACGCATACTCGCAGCTCATATTACTATCCACTTCAAGCAGTCCGGGAATAAGAAAACTTAGCTTACTTGATGAAACCTTAATCATATCTTCGATAAATCACCAATTAGCAAAGTTGGTGTGGAAGATGGAATCAGTGTATCAGGAAGCGACGGAAGCAATAGTCCGCATCATCAGTTGACCAGTGGAGAAAGACGGTCCATTGAGAACCTGTGTACATTTTCGCTAGACACGAACATGTCAGTAACAAAGCATACAATTACATGTGATGACAAAAGAGAAAGTGATGTATTCGGTCATCTCGAACTTATTCCTGCTGCACTGAAGTGAGTTATGAAAGAGAAGGCCAACCGGGTCTGTTCATTTAATTGCCATTACAACCATACTTTGTCTTCTGTCCGGTTGTGCCAAAATTTTAACCCGACCGGCAAACAGAGTCTGAAAAGTGAGGTCCTAATTCAGTTACTCTTCTCATAAGATCGCTGTTACCCATGGATACTTGGTATCATGCTTCCGTTGTTTTGATGCAACTAATCAACCTCTTTTGTGTTCCTCTCGTCTCTTTTTCTTACGTGTTCATTTTTCCTTTCACAATCCGACAGTACCAAAACAGTTGGGGCGAAACCAACACTAAGACCACAACAGGGATTTACGCCAGAACAATTGCAACAAATTACTGCAGCAGTCCCATCCTCCGGCTATTTTGCAAAGCTGAGTACGTTGTTTATGCAAACATTATTAGTTTTCTGATAATGGTTACGGTTTCTCGGAGTTGTGAGATAATAGATACTAAGGAAGTTTAAAAAAAGTTATATAAACGGTATCCTTGCTTTGGATCACATTGACTAGCAAAGCTACTGAAGCCAAAAATTTGCAACAGGATGTTGAGCATAGCTTTTAGTGGACTTCGTCATTACTCGACAAGACTGTCACTCCAAACTTAGAGAAGAGCAGTAGTGGCAAGTTCTTTTTAGGCTGGTCCGTTGTGTGCATTCATTTCAACCCCCAGCCCTAAGATGACAAGACAGCGGCTACTACTGCTAAGTCAGGAGCGGTGGAAAATGAAAATTTTCTGGTAGTTTTATGGCAGTTTGGTGCATCCTCCTCTTTTACTCATGAACTCTACGGATGGTAGCTTAAGCAGTCAGCTTGTGCATACTATTCACAACCCTGGACAAGGCCACATAGTCGAAAAGATCATTCTGTTCTAGAAACGAGTTAGGAAATGTAGAATATTCTATGCTTAGTATCATCCTTTCCTTTAGGCAGGCAGGCAGGCATCAGCTGGACGCCGGTATATTGTACCGATGCTCTGCGCTCCGCAACCACCACCAATTCCGCGTGAGCTTAGGATACTGCGAGGGACATCCGTTCCTCTACACAGCTCAAATCCGCGACCTCCGGATTCCAAGGAAGGCCTGTGATCCTTTCAGTTAACAGCCGGAATGAGAAAACGCCTACTCCCATCACTGTCCTCACATGTTTCGTCGATGAGTCAAACTGTTTGTTACGACAAAGCATCAAACTAAACCCACTCAAGCGTGGTTGATGAAATCTTGAGAACCATTGGCAAACCAGGCACCTATACCTACGTAGCTTGTGACACATCAGTTTACTAATGTAACCAGTCCTCTTTCCGTTGTAGGTGAAAGAATAACCCACACCTAGTATGTTCAAACAACAACCCCGTAAATGAGGATGACATTGGAAGCTCAAACAGGCACAGATGACAAAATCCGGGATGGGTAGTACGGCTTGAATTCTTAAAGTCAGTTGCTGCAAGAAACGAATAAAGTAGTGTAATATAAGATGAAGCAATGAGGTACAGGTTACCTACTTGGAAACAAATTCGTTAGCTGCAACAATGGTGAGATCGGCCTGGTCTCGCCCGACCTCGGATTTTCTAACAGTTCTGCTAGTTTCTGCATTATCGGATTTGCAGTGGAACTCAACTGGGGGAGGAAAGAGTGAGATAATTATGTAGAGCACAAAAGTGGCAACTAATCAGCATCTAATGAAAACCTATCCCGTCTCGTCTTCAGTGTTACAGTTATCTCAACACATAGTTCACTTTCAAAACGGTGGAGACATTGAGCAACTCATATGGCGTACATCTGTTGTGCAATGATACAGGGAAAACATCTGAGAAAATAACTATGTCCCTAAATGTTCTACGTATTGCTTCATAGAAAACCTCAAAAAACTAGGGATGAGCAGGGAAACGGATGAAATAGATTAACAGCAGGAACCTCGATGTTGCGTACCAACAAGCAACGAAAAAGCAGTATTGACAGCTTACAAACACGTACATATAATATGTCCCTCCCTTTACAGCCTGTAAAGGGTTTTCGGAACAAGTCACGAATTAGTGCCTAATCTAATTACAGACAAACAAACCCATCAGGGAAGTACGAAGAGCAGCCATATCAAACCAATATCTTCTCTATTTTAAGTCAAGAGCGCTGTAGACGTTATTTCTACTACAGGAACTGCTTCGCATGTCATTTGCCGATGTTTGCAAGTTAGACCACGAAAGTGGACAGCAACAAGTATTGAACGATAGAAACATATAAGAACAGTAACTGCAGGTAATGGCTTGAGTGTTTTCAAAACAAGCAAACAGTCAATGACAGAGTGAACAGAATGTCACAAAATCAGTCACTGGTTGCTAATTAGTACCGTGTGCAGCAAGGCACGCTGTTATTGCATAGGAGAATGATGTAAGACGGTGAAGCACAAATACTGAACAACCCCAATTCGCTATGCGGTAACGAAAGTACTTGAAAAGTAGACAAGCTTTCCAGATAACACGTAGTAGAGGCTAGTTTGACACTGCACCGCGCAACAAGCGCAAGATCAGAGGATTTCACAGGTTTACAACGACATTTTTGCAAACGACCGCTGAAGGAATTCAAACTTTGAACAATGAATATCTCAAGAGAAAATTACTTATAGTGTATCATCAGAAGGTTCACAACGGTAAAGGATTTGGGCTTAACAAGGCATATATATATATATATATATATATATATATATATGTTGCATTCTTGATGCTTCTTCACCGCAGTTGGTCTAAACCAATTTATACTTCAACTAGGTCTTTTTAAGCTGGATGAATTTTGTTCCACTTTATTTGATTTGTTCTGCCTACTTGAATAATCTTCTATTAACTGGCCACGTTGCTTACGCAAATTGCGCTTATCATCGGTAACTTTGTTGTGTTGGTAGCATTTTTAAGTAACCTGTGGATATTTCGTACTTATCGCGGATTCGTCGCTAAACAACATACTTCACATGGTAATTTAGCGAAGAGTTATGCCACAGGATCTGTATGCATTATTGGATTTATTTTATTTTAGCTTGTCGTTTCAAGTGAATGGTTGTTGGTTGATATCCCCGGTGTGGCTGCGCTTGATGTGCATGTTGACAAGGTGCCTACCTGTCTATTACCCACTATCTCGTTCATACTTGCTCTAGGAGACAGTTGGTCGTTGCTGGAGGGGACGGGGTGCACGGTTCTTGTGGCCGTGCTAGGCTCAAAGAGCGGTTCCATGCCCTCAGTGTGGAGCGGACTACGGTCCAGCCACCGCCTTGTGTGCGCTTGATTGCCCAAATACAGCGTGTTTGTGTTTGCCTGTGAAAGAGTGTGGGCCAGCTCAGTTGATGAAACGTGGCTCCCATCCACATGCCTCCCGGTCTTATTCCTTCGGGTTTACACTGGATATGGGGTGTGTGGATGGAGCTGTGGGTGGTGCAGCGCAAGCCACCCATGGTCCCTCTGTAGGCGCAGGCGTCCTGTGGCTGGCCACAGTGACAGGCAAATCCGAAACCGGATGTCGCCAACCATATATATATATATATATATATATATATATATATATATATATATATATATATATATATATATATATATATTTAGTAATCTGCCGCAAATAATGGACCGAAATGGAAGAGTGACAAGTGATCGGGTCGCTGATCTGTAGTACCCCAAAAGCGATTTCTTATCGCTTGTGTACAATTTCGTACTAATCAATTGTACCATTTTCCTTCTTGTCCAACTGCCCCTACCATACGGTCATGTATGTCTACGCCCATCTCATCAATCATTTAATTGATTAGTCACTGCGGCAAAGTTCTCTTCGGTTCGCTTCATCCTTCCTCGACTTCTCGTATCCTCACAAACGAATTCATAGGTCTTCTGATACTGGTACTCGATTACGTATCCTGATCATCAAGTCAATAAATTGGTGGCCCCGATTACATCAGTGAAGTTGGAACTTCTCATCGTAAATTTCGGGTGAATTCTTTTTTGATTTCCCTGGTGCATTTATCTGTTTGTTGCTTCAGATACATCGACATATTTTACTTTATTTTTGAGCTCTCGTATGCATGACTCGCACGGAATACGAGTTGTTTTACAGTGTATGTATGTTTGGCTGTTTCAGATTCCATGAAACACAATCCAGGTATTTGGTTTACCATCTTCGAGATCGGGCACAAAAATATGGGAATTGCGGTACATTCAGCCCTTCTCATGCCTTCCTTTATCGATGGTGACGCTGGTTCAGGATATGCTACCTTACTCACCGAAGAGGGCAAAGTACGAAAACGTTAAGCAGGTGATGTTAAATGAATCAGCCCTGCTCTGATGCCCAGCGGTATCAAGCTGGGAACTCGCAAGCAGTCGACGGTGTTCTGAAACATTTAGCGTGTTGATGCTTCCTTATTCTTTAGCGAAGACGGATAAGAAAGCTTTGGCTTGCAGGTTTATCAGAGCCGTTGCCGTGAATGCAGCCCATGTTTACAGACAATCCCCTGAATGAACTAGTCACCACAGTAGACTCTGTACTGGAACGGCTTTTGTGACAAACGACCAGTAGTTTCGGCAATATATTCGCAGAAATAAACACCAGTGTCATGCTTGATACCTGTCGCCAAAGCAAACTGATTTTGGTAATCAGAAATTAAAGCTAGTCCAAAATCGTCCAGCAGAATGAGGGCTCTGAAATAAGGTACGCTACAGACGGACGCTGACCAAATTTTGGTTACCGTTCATTTTAGTTTGCCTTCACCAATGCCAACTACGTCACGTTCGACATAAAATCACAGTATCCCCTCGGCTTGTTTTTACTCGGGTAGTACCAATCCCATGGGGGAAATTTACTGGTATCAATGTCAAGATGGCGAAATAACTAGACGATGTGCACTTTATGCACGGCTCAGCCGTCGCAGTGAAACCGAATAGCCCTTATGCTGGCACAACGGACAAGTCCACCGTTAACAAAAGTGGTCGTCTGTTTTACGCTACGGATCGATGTTCTTGCATCACTTTCCTCATCGACCCGGGAGTGAACGTCAACCCTGCGAACGCAAACGATAAAAACTCCAAACCCACGGACAATCTGTGTGATGCTAAGGGTTTGCTGATAGATTCATATGGGCCGTTGCAGGATGCACTTGCTTTCAATGGTTTTTCATCGTTAACATCCTGTGCAATAATCTGTATCGGTTTTCGGTCATATTGGACTGCTTGTTGATGCTAGTTGCCACAGGTTCTTAGAGGACCATACAAAACTAGGGATGGAAGGTGCTCTTTCCTATGCACCGATAATCACTCCAGTTTTTCGAATTTCCGACGTACCTCCAGACTATGCAAACCTATCCTCCGGATACTCGCGACTGTTAGGTTTAACTGCAGTATGTTCACCAGTCACGACAGAGATCACCCATCACACAATCACATGTGGTCAGCTAGAGTGTGGCCTACCGAAACGATTCGTCTCAAACAACGTACGTGCCGCACGAACTGAATTCAACCACATGCTTTCGTTCAGCATCGCCAGGCTAGCCAACTATCCATGGGCGTCAGCACTCTACATGGTCCACAAGGAGGTCACTGATGACTGACATCCTGGTGGCGAATATTGTGCTTTGAAAACTAACATCCCACCTGATCGTAATCCGGTCCGCACATCGTGGATCTCACATTCAGACTAGCAGGTAAGACAGTCTTTAAGAAAATCAACTTGCTTCTCGCATTCAATGAAATTCCGGTGGACGTGAAGTCTGCGTTCGGCTTGTCCGAGTTAATGCGGTCTCTATTTGGTCATAAAAATACCACGCAAAAGTTTCTGCGCTTTGTCGACTGAGTTTGTCTTGGAGTATATTTCTCCTATGCTTATCTCGACTACATCCAACTCGTGAGCTGCTCACGCGAAAGGTCCTTGTGCCACCTGCGGACACTCATCGACGGTTTATCTTAACACGGCGTGGCGATCAACGTTTTGGATTCAGTCGGTCAGTTTCCTTGGCTATCACATCTCCCCTGCAGGTGTCTAGCAACTACGGAATAAGACTAAGACCATTATTCACTACTCCGATGCATCATTCCTTCAAGCTGCTCAGACCTTCTGAAGGCCTTGTTAAATTGTACCGTCGTTTCATACCTAACTGTGCATCGCGGACCTTATCTGAGGGATTATCAAGAAATTCGGTTATTCTGCTACAGCGCGCACTGCGTTCAAATCTCTAAAAGAAGTCATTATCAACATAGCTTATGAGGTGCAGCACGAGCAGGTGCTCCAAATTTCCTTCATACGGACGCCTCAGGCATCGCAGTTGGCGTTGGCGTCTAGCAAAAGGCCGGCGGTAATTGATACCCTATGAAATTTTCTCTAGACACCTGTAACCAGTAAAAGTTGGTTACATCAAGTTCGATGTAGGAATGCTATCCATCTACTTGGTCATTTGTCACTTTCAATATTTGTTAGAAGGCATTGCCTGTGACTTACCTGTGACCTCCCTGCTTGGCTCGACAACCAACCGTTGCTCTCCTAGGCCATAAAGTCACCTCGACTATATCGTTTAGTTCACTACCGGTATACCATGTCTCCGAACCACACAGTAATGTCGCCGATGCACTTACTCGACTTCAAGCGATCTCCACCGACGT